ATCTGCTGTGCCAATAAAAGTTTAACAAAAGTGAGAAATATTGCAAACGAATCTACTAATAGATAAAGTGTTTTATTTAATTCCACAACAGGGTTGAAATATTAGGAGATAATATAAGTGTCTCCGACTACTAACAAAAACGTATGTTACGTCGTCAATGTGTAAAATGAGATTGAACGGGAGGACCAACTTGACCACCATCGGACGTCACCAAAAAAAGTTAACCAATTCTGCTTCAAATTTTTTTTATTCATCAATAGCAAACCTCAAGTATTTAACTACGAGAGAACCTAAAATTCATAATAAATATTAATTTCTTTCTGCCGGCATTTTGAGACCGAGGCTTGTATATACATAGATCCGCAATGATAATCAAGTTGATTATCAACTTCAAGTTGACAAGCGCTCACGTCGAAGATGACACAATAGTCATAGCTCATTCACAACCCATTTCTCCAGAATTAAAAAAATTAAAGTATATCTATGGGATTTCAAGAGAGGCCATGGCATATCTTACAATTTAATTTTGTGAGTTTCATTCCTGTTTAATTTAAATCCACCTAATATACGGAGCTTAAACCATCAACTATGTGACATTTAAATCATGGGTAACTTCAAAGATAACTTGGAGCAATCGGAAAATCAGTCCCCATCAATTTTAGTTTTTCTGTCATCCTTTTCAAGTATCCATTCAGATCTAGGGCATTATATAACAACATAGCCACGACCGGGTCGAAGCCACCGAGTACCAGGCGTACGAAGGAGATGATATCGGATGTATCCATCACTTGTCATAAACCCGTACATTCCAAAATGTCGTCTGCTGATAGTTACTCTACGTCATATCTCTTTAAAATTTGAATAAAGTACCCAATTTTCTTACATATCTATACAATTTAGAGTATTAATTACATGTCTATTCATTTCAATATGTTCTAAGTCAACTATTTCCTCCGTAATTTGAATTTCAAAATAGGACGATCGTAACAATTCATCCACAGGTCTCCAATACCTTTATATCATTTCCCTCATTCAGCCATGGCATATAGATGCAGACAGATACCAAACATGTCCTCAAAACGTTCTCACTCCAATGCTCCGGAGATGTTTCTATTTGACTCACCCCAATCACAACCGGAGGAAACATTGTACATATATGTTTTACATTTTCTTGATTTTGTTTCCAAATAGCTACGCAACTAAGTGTAAAATAACTATTTTCAAAGTAGGAAATAACATCTAACAGCTTTATTTAAATATATCAAGAATAAGAATAGAAAACTATAAGTGCAACTTAATTACAAAAATTGCTAGATCTTTTTACCGATACGGCAAAGTGAACATCAAATAGCTTTCTCTAAAAGTTATGTATAATTTCGCAATTATTATACATCGGTCCAATTTTCCTGTATTTTTAATATTTGTTACACTCATTTTCACCATCAGAACTTCCATTAAACATGTAACACCATTCAGTTGTGTCAGAAGTAATTCGATATCGACATAGAAAATGCCAAACAGAGGAGTGTTAATACCAAAATATTGTAACACAGGTCTTTGTTGTGTCTGCTCTTATGGCTTTTGACTGGTGAGACTGTCCCGTTTTTGGCAGGAAGGACTTATGGGTAATGGCATCTCCTGAAAATACATGAAGGACGCCGCAGATGAAACATGAGCAATGTATTGAGTACTTAATATCTTGAAATTGAAATACTTAAATAATGTCAAGCATTTTTGGGATTTTTGCTCCATTTGGAGAATCCACTCACAAAGATTTCTCTTTGTAGTTAGTTCAAGAAAACTATGAAAGGCAGACTGTCAGGAATTGAAATTTCCATATTGCAGAAGGGCATACTCCCTTAGCCTTATTCAGTGTTGTTATTTTTGATTTATTGAGAGATCTCATGATATTTGTACATTCATAATTCCCCTGTACTTTAGATATTTCATTTTCTGAATTACTCTATAATCTTGTACGACTATGTTGTAATTAAGACACGTTTTATCCTTCAATAAAGAATAATCAAGTGAAAATGCTGCTAATAAGTATAATCTTCAAGTTTGACTTCATTGGTTAATAATAATAAAAAATGCAATAACCAACAGAACAAACATTTTCATATCAATTATTTCATCCTCCTTTCCCCATAACAAAGTCATTATGTAATACGTTGAAATATTTAGTGATTTCATGTGTACAGAGGTAATTTTCTCAAGTAACATATTTCAAATTAGCTCTTCAAATTAAAAAGTTTTACCAGAACATACTTTGGTCATTATTGTTTCCGGACCTCTCCCCCTGTGTTATTATGATTTTATAAAGCTGACACTCTTACATTGCATAATATACAATTTATTGTAATATCACTGATAAACATATCAAGCTCATTGTTTAAATTTTATTGAATCTGACCACTTATTGTCTGTAAAAATCTGTTGAAATTTAGAAACAAAGCGACACCTACGGTATGACCATCAACATGTCCTCATTTTAAAGTTCCAGATGTATAAATTATGAACGTCATAATAAGAGTATACTTACGTCTTAATCATGATTAGTGTGGACACACACTACTTTGAATGGGGGGAAGTGTAGTGAATGTCTAATTACGAAATGAAAGTGGATTCAGTAAGGCCACATGTGTTGACTCTAGACTGAGTCTCGTGAAAGCTACATTCCTTCACCACAAATTATTGTGTTATGTGATTTAGATATCATGTTATGTGATTTAAATATCCTGTTACATTGCATGTGTCAAAGAGTTACACCTGATGAAGGGGAAGAAAAGTTCACAGACTTTGATTACACAGAGATGATTTACAATCATCATCAACAGTGACTAGCCATACAATACCAAATATATTTATAACATAACTGAGTTTTTACAGGACGATGATACACCAATGGATTAATTAAGATAAATAAACAATCAATATGTAAACTCGATTACAGTTAATTATTGAGAGTTATTTTTAACTTTTCTGGAAATTCTCAGCAACAAATATTATTGAGTTATTTGATTTGGTCATTCTTTCCGGACTTAACATGACTAATAATACACAGGCTCTACAGTCTTAAAAACAATATGAAGCCTTATTAAGAAGTCATGCAATTAAAGGTATTCTTTACTGCTCAAAGGTCTAAATTGTCACATTATAATCTGGTATCTGCTTCTACAAATTACCATAGTTTCTTTGACAAGTACATCCTTCCTCATCTAACTACTGACCTATTGTCATCTAATGAACACAACAATTAACATTTAATAAGAAAAAAACATAAATAAAAATTATAACACTAATTATCAAATAAAACTAAAAGTTTTATAATTGATAAAAAAGGAACTTTTCCATTATGAATTAAGATGTGATTAAACGTGGATAGATATTTATAGGATGAGTATCAAAGTTGAACATCAATCTTGTTTGTTGTCTATGTTAAGACATAGCCAAATAATCTCATCTCATCTAGGCTTAGTTATTTCTATTTTGTTACTCTATTAGGGAGTTAATCTGGAACAATAAAACAAGGGTCATTTATCACGGGGATGTCAAAGAAGCGATCTTTCCCTATTCAGAAGACACCATAATACATAATCCTAATGTAAATTCTAATAGCTCAATAAACTAAGCTCCTTATGAATCTGCTAATGAAGAGAGTAAGGGTAGTTAGACAATAGACACTTAAATAAGCAACGATCCATTGGGCTTAAGGCATAACGAATCATTTCACTCTAATAAATTGTTACATTTCTCCTGGCGAAAGGCAGAATTTCTAACTAATTATCCAATCAACATTAGACAAATATGGATGCTTCAAGCGGCAATAGAGTTTTCTTTAGTCGATGTAATATCAATGAAAAGTAACAATGATTTACATTACAGCCATTAACCATCATATTATTTAAACACAAATCACAGAAAAAAGCAAGCAGACTAAATGAATGTGTGAAATAATAATCCCATCGATGAGGAGAGTGACAATGAAAATAAATACAAATTACCCATCTTTCATGAGCCTACACTTCACATATATTGTATATGTCTATAGCAAATTAAATCAATTAAAACAAACATTAAAATGAAAATAACAATACATTACAGGCAGTTGGGAGACATTGAGTGCTTCTCTCTGTGTTAGATCAATAGTTGTGATATTGGGGTTTGTTTTCCTGTGACACTTGCAATGTCAAATTTTCCTTTTTCTAAATGTGAAATTCTCTTTTTTACCTACATATATACATTTACATATGCAACCCTCACTGTCAAACATAAGGGAGTTAATCATTATGTAAAGTATGTACTCTTACAATAAGACTCTTATAATAAGATTCTAAATGAATATGGGATATGAAGTTGTATGGAGGCCATGTGGGCCAAGAAGAGAACTGGCTGACATCCATTATTGATCAATACATGTTTCGTATATAATTAATGAACGCGTCTTGAGGGAGTGTCAAACATTACATTTTACCTGCTTCAGTTTTTATATGAATATAAATAAATTATGTTATCTCAAAAATAAATAACACTGACCTGGATGACTGGCAAAAGCTTTTCATTCATTCCTCATTCATTCCCGATAAAATATAAACATATAAAAAAACATGCACTCATTTTTGCAAATGTCAAAATACAATGTATCTGAGTCTGATTGGAATTCAATATATCCCACTGCGATGCCATTCATCTACTTTATCATGCCCTGTAGGATGCAAAGCAAGAATATCGGTAATACCTTTTTGAAGTACACTATTTCTTGTTACCTCCAATTCAATGTTTCAAAACTAAATCTTCATTCCAAAGCATAACCTTAATCATCAAAATTAACCTTTCTTTAGGCCTCATCCTTAGAAACATTTCTTTCAGGAGTCCAATCCCTTCACTGATATCTAGTTTTATGTATATAGATAGTACACAGTTCACACATGACTAAATGAAATGAATGAAGAAAAAATGTAATTCAATGTAATAATTTGACCAAATATCTTGTATTTCAGTAACAAGTCCCAACTGGTTGACCCACAGAAGAGCAACCCCAGTAAAAGACATAGAATTCGCCTTAATGGGGAACTGGACACAGTGGCCAACCTACTGCCCTTTGAACAGAATGTGATTTCGAAGTTAGACAAGCTTTCCATCCTGAGGTTGTCTGTGAGCTATTTAAGGACGAAAAGCTTCTTCCAAGGTAAGAACATAGTTTGCGGATAAGTTGTTTAAATATACATTTTGGCTGTAGCGAATGGTAATTGCTTTGAGTTATTCAACCCATCTTGGATGAAACCTCATAAAGCAACATGATTTCCAACTATAAATACATAGTGACAAAAAATAAGGAGGAAATGATCAGAATGTGAATACAAAAAGCTGCTAAAAGATTTTCAAGATGTGATATACATGTCAGTTTTCAAACTGTCAAGATATGTTATAAATAATTAGCTACATTCTTTATATTGTTGCCATACTCCTCTGTCGAGGCTACTGTACCCTCAGACTCCACGTCTGGTTAATTTGATCTGGTGAAAGACCCCTTACTTGAGTGTCAAAGACCCCCAACCAAAAATCACCCAAACTCTTTTGTCTATCACAGTGGCCATTTTTATAATGCTACATAGCATTTGTGTAAGTGTCAAGCGATAGGAGCAATCACGACTGGTAGACACTTGATAAAACACCATGGAGTGATAAACCCTTTCCTTTACTCCAAATTACCCTCTCTTAACATACCATCACTTCATTCAACTTGCTCAGTTATGTAATTACTTAGATGCTGTTTATCAATGCCAAGTTATGTATCCCTTCATATGTTTTAAATAAAGCGTAGAATTCCTAAGCTATGAACACATAGAAACAAAAACGTTATAACGCCACAGACCACACTTGGGTAAATAATATGGTGACAGGGATGTCAAGCACTTAAGACTGGAAATCTATTGTTGAAAGACTCATTCATCCCTCCTACCACTTATAACCATTGTTGTGTGTAACTTAAGCCTAATTCAGACACAAAGAAAGTGAAAGTGTCACCCACTGACCACAAGGAAGCCTTTTTGAGTTGTTCCAAGACAGTGATATTTCACATTCAGTATAACTAATATTTTGTCAAAATTGCAGACATTCTATTTGAAATTCTTTTTTATAATTCAACTGTTTTAAATAAAACATACATCCCCTGTCCAGTGGTACAGTAGAGAAAAAATACATATCATCCTCATACGGATGGTGTTGCAGAGAGTAAGTAAATATTCATCATACATTCTACATTCCAGTTGGGTAGATTGGTCATTTCATTCAGTTTCAGTGTCACAAAATAGTAAATGAAAGACAATGGTTGCATGCTAAGGTAAAATGGTCCAACATTGTCAGACATTGTGGTCATGAAAAAGTGTGCCTGTGACAAATTAAGACATTTTAGGTTATTTAAAGACTATCAGTTGATGATCAAGGATCAAATAAGAGTCAAAAGGGCTAAAATTTACTGAGAAGTGCGTGACTTTATGTATGAGGCCTGTTGTTCCTGATAATTGAAGGCAATCATGTTTGGTGCCATATCTGACACTCCTGTCTTCAGACTACCTAGGACCCAGTGGATGTTTCATGTCATCATTAACAAATTATTTTGGGACATTTTAGAGTCGCCCTTTCCATAAGCAGTCATTGTAATTCCCACATGAAAAGGATCACCTACCTAAGTCTGTACTTTTGAAAGTGTGTCAATTCACTCTTCATTGTTGTGTTAATTTGTTTATATAAGAACCACAATTGCTAGATAAAAAATAAAATGCTGGCAGGAAGTAAATTTGATGTGAGGGCATTGAAGGGACCTGTCCGCCCCTATACTTAAAGTATTAATCCAACACTATTTCGTGACAGAAAAAGTTCCATCTTATTTAAACTATTGTACTTATTTTGGAGAAATTTACCTGATCCTACTCAAACACAACAATAGGAACTTGGGGACCCACTAAATGATTAACTTCCACACGAACAAGCCACATGTTTGACTAAAGTCAGATAGAGTACCCCTGGACAAGAATTGCACTTGTCTAAGTGTTGCTTTCTGCACTGTGTAAATAAATTATGAATATATTGTTGTTTTATCAAAGAACTGGGATTATAGATTTGTGTACACAATGTTTAGTTCGATCCTTATATTGATTTCTCAAGTACGCTTTCAATGTGTATTTGTTATTTTAGCTATTTGTATAATATAAATGAACGATGGAGACATATAATATTGATACATACAATGAACTGATCATTCAAGTGGTAGTGAATTTGTTAAAACTGGTTGCATGACAAGGCTTAACACATCCTACTTATAAAATTAAAACCTTGTATCACTTTTGCGTGTTTCATGACATCATTGTAATTAAAATACAAATAACAATGAACACAAAAAGAATCTGATATTGAATGTGTATGTCAGACTGACAGGTACATTATTGTATGATAATTACTTGACAAAGGATATATATAAAAGTGAAATGGAGATTTAAATAATTAAATGATGTGATTTGTAAATGGCTTTGCTATACAAAATATACATACTAGTAATGTAATTGATGTGTCGACTTTTCAATTTCTCATGATAAACATTTTTACCCATTTCCATTAAATCTGCTGCATGCACATTTTTTCAGTTATAACACATTTCACCACAAAAGAAGACACGGTGCTTGGTGTCATAATATCCAGCATCATAAAACAGTCACTTGCTCTTGAACATACATAAAAAGTAATATAATGATGCAAAAGTGTGACTTAAAAAGAGAGAACAAAAATTAGTAGAAAATTACAAGTTACACACACTTGGAAACTCTCGGTTCCTTGTATGACATGGGAAGTATGTGTCCTGAAGGTTGTTTTTCTCTATTATTAACCCATTATAATAAAATGAACTAATATACCAACCATCCTATACAATACCACTTAGGTTCCAATTTCTCAGTTTCCTTTGGGCAAAGATATAATTATTGACCTGAGTATGTCATTTTGTTTTGATCTGAGCAAAAAGCGTAATAACTTTTTTCTCCAAGTGGGGGTTGTGTAGCGTCATTCCAAATATGGTGATAATCACCTAATAAGGAAAATGAGTCAAAATCCTCATTTGAAATTGTTGATGCACTCTCCCATTGGAGGTTATTCTCAGAGATCATGTCTATCTGAGTGTTCTCCCGTTAGAGATTCTTTGGAAATTCTTGAAGAAGAGAGCATATGCTGAAACATTGGACTTGTGGTAATGGATAGATTATTTGTGTTCATAGTTGAAGTACAATCAGTGGTTCCTAATTAACTAAAGGAGATAGTATTACATCTAGATTCTCTTTGGTGCTGTCATTTACTAGGCAAATTATAGGAATATGTTCTATACCCTTTGCAACCTTTGATTTAATAATGACTGTATTGCAAAGATACTTCCCCTTTGACAATACAAAGATACAATTACAACTCCGCAATAGGAAACATTTCTTCTCAAAACAATTTATGTTGCAATTAAAAATCATACAAATATTATCAATTAATACAATAAATATATCAAAATTAAGATGAATAATGTCAACTGTTTAGAAAACTATAATGAATTTGTGTACAAAGCTATAATATATTGACAAACATGGTACAATAGTATTCTATAATAGAAAAAATCAATTTAAAAACAGAACATGTTAAGCTTCCAGTAGGTTTTGATCAATAAAATATAGATTGATTCCAGCTTATTTAATGTTCAAATTTTGTGACCACTGAATTGGAATCATTACTGGGAAAATATGATAAAATCTAACATGCAATGGTTAATTTAATTTTGGGCTTCAAGAATGACTTTTATTGTGCAGTGATTTTCTGCATTGCATGCAAGCAACTTTTGGTGCTATCACACTTTTTCAGACTTCGAAACCTCTTATGGGGTCTTTCAGATCAAATTAAACATGTTAATTACCCCTTAAAAGACTCTAATAACCCCTAACTTTCTATTCTTATAAAATTAGCCACACTTTCACAAATCAATTTTCCAGGGGATCTACAGCATACATATGCAATTATAACAGTTTATAATAAGCCAAAAATTTACAACAATTTCCAGAAAAAAGGTTCATAACAAAGATGCCAGTCTATTGATTTAATAACTGAAAAGCTGTTACTTAAAACACTTGTAAAGAAAATCTGTTCAGTTTCTAGCCAAGATCAGCGTCCAAGATAAGCCAGAAATTGAGGTGAATTAAAATGAGTCCATGGATGTATAAGGATAATAAATTACCTGACACATCTTTAAAGTGTTTCAAACAACATGTGCACAAATGTGATGTTCAAAGAATGGATTTGTCATTAATTGTGATAAAATCATTTGTTTTATTTATTATCATCACATCTTGCTCTGAGCAACATAATGACAGCTTGGTAGAACATGGTTTTGTTCATAGCTATGCAACAAAATCAAACAGGCTTAACTGATTTTCCGTCACTTTCTTTTTTTACTTGAGTAAATCCTGGCTATTGTCATCCCTCTGGTAATCAAGATAGCATTGAATCTTTAAGTTAGTTTCCATGTCTTTCTGCAGTTTATTTTCTTCAAAACAATGTGAAGATATTATAGATAGGAGGTTTGTAATTATAAATTGATTGAAACGAGAAGGAAATGGCTATTTTAGAAAAGTTAAAGAAACATCAGACAACCATAAATCATAAATTTTTATCTGTTTTATCTGTTCATACAACTCCACACATCTCAGAAATGTGTTTTATTTCATTTTAAGATATAAATCTCTGAATATTTATGGTACAAAAATCCACCTATACTGGGCTAAACATTATTTCTATGGCAGAAGCTAATTGAATTTTATGAAGAGCTTTGTTTTTGTTCAAAATCATAACATTATCCAATTGTTCTAAACTAATCTCTCTCACTAATGTTTATAGATATTATAATGGTTTCTATGATTAAAACATTATTACTAGAATTAATATCCAGGTTGAGCAATTAACTCAAATTACGACACCAAAAGTTAAAATCCATTGTATAATTATCACAACCAACATATTTTAAAATCTCACATAACCAAAAAAGTACCAAAATTGGCAACACATAAATTTAACAATCACAATTATTTCACATTATAAGTATACAAAAATAGAAAAATTCTAATTATTTCCCTTACTTTAGAAACTATAAGAATGAAATAAGATCAA